AGGTTATGTGTGTGTGTGCGTGCGTGCGTGCGTGTGCGGGTGGGTGGGTGGTGGGGTTTCTGTTAAATACGGACTTTAAGGGTGGGTGGGGGCGGTTTTGCAATTTGTATTTTATCTTGTATTTTATTTGGTCCTTCTTGTATTCTTTAATGTACAGCACTTTGTGATACAGTCCATGTATGAAAAGTGCTCTATAAATAAAGTGATTGATTGATTGATTGATTGATAACTGCCTCATAGTCCATGTGCATATACTGTGTCTCATCATAAAAGGTAAACACATTTTTACAAAAAAAAACATGAGTATTTACATACATATAAATACACATATATTCACATAATGCACACATTGAAGCATTAGTTGAAAGGGAAAGAGAAAAGAAATATAGCATAACATGACACAATAACTATGATTACATAATGTCAAAGTTGAATTTATGAGTTTTAGTGAGTCATGGACCTGTAGATATTTAACCTTGTATGGCATGACAATGTTTTTCACAACTTTTGATGGGATATTTCTTATGTCCTAGAGCAGTAACCACCCAGATAGCACACGAAGTACATTGTGTCGACATCAGCCCGATACATCTAGTTTCATCACCAAGATGTCGCAAGGAGAGTGTTTGCTAATTGCCACAATGCTGCAAAGACATCAGCCTTTGATCTAAAATGATAGACTCATGATTAATCAAAGTTGTAGTGCACAACCTTTATTCATAGGTTGAAGCTGGACTGTAAATGTACTATCTAACATGAAAAAAACAATGCCGACCTAATACTGACTGCTAATTGCTACCTATTTTCATGTGTGTGAATAATGAAGAGCCATACCTCAAGTCAAAAACACTTAATTGTCCAGAATCAGCCCAGACAGGAGAAATGAACACCTGCAACAATAAATCTCACTTCAATGCGTAACTTCAATAGTTTTAACCGTTTCGCTTGTTTTAATGACCAGGGGCCTCATTTATAAAACCTGGCGTAAGATCCATACTAAAAGTGTACTTAAGTCGAAAAGCTGAAAAGTGCGTAGGCAAAAAAAAAATCTGATTTATAAAACCCTGCCTTCGCACACCTGCATGCACTTTCCCTTTATAAATCACAGACCAGCTGGAAAGTTGCGCAGCAGGGATTTGATTCATGCCCCGCCCTCTCCACACCCAAAATTCACCATGTATGGTCATGCAAATTACCTCATGAATGTGATTTGCATTTTCACGCTTAATCATGGCATCAGCAAGTCGTAGAAAAAGAAACTTTTCAGAGACCGAGGTGGAGGTTCTTGTAATTGAGGTGGCGGCGAGATGGGAGACCTTATCCGGCGGCCATTCGAGTGGCATCACCAATAAAAACGCCGTTGCCGTGGCGGTAATTGCGGCTGGCACTGACCCCAGCGTTGCCGAATCAGTGTTGTTTTCGTCATATTTCGTCAAATATTTTTGTCAACGCCAGCGTCAATATTTCCCTTTTCTTCCACGACGAAGACGTAACGTTGACGAGCTAAACATAAGTCGGGGATGACTAAAATGTGACGAGACAAAAGTGCGTTTACGTTGATGGGACGAGACGAAAATGACGAACAGAGTTGCAAAACTCTGTCAGTTAAACGCTAAACATATAGGAGCAGCTTCAGTCCACTCTGACAGCTCTCATCAGCCTGCTGTACTCCTCCAACACACACACACACGCGCGCACACATGTGGAGTTTTGTTTTCGTCGATGATGACGTTGACGAAAACAACACTGTGCCGAAATCGAGAAGAAGTGGTCTGATCTAAAGGTGGAGGCAAAGAAAAAGTGGCTTTGCACCTTCGGAGTGTGGTGACGACAGGTGAGGATCAGAAAAAACAAGCACGTGTGACACTCATGCATGTGTTCAAAAAGAAAACTGCTCCGTTATCCACCGCTGCTTATGTGGTGAAAGTTCGTAAACCAAAAAGATTTAGTCATATTAATCTTAAAACAAATGCATATAATTGGAATTTGTTCTTTTGCACATTTGTAAATTCAAATTGGCAAACTTTCTACACCGCCACAGTGGGGTCTGTGCTTTCTGCGAGCATCACTGCCTGGTACGGCAGCTGCAGCTCTCAGGACAGAAAGGCCCTGCATCGAGTCATCCGTTGTGCTGAACGCATCACCCGGACTGCACTGCCCGGCCTCCAGGACATCTACACCCAGCGGTGCAGGTCCAGGGCAAGACGGATTATCAAACACTCTCTCACTCACCTTGCTCCGATTGTCTCCAAAAAGTGCGTAAGCAAGGTGTGGAGTTTGCTTAAAGTTACGCACATTCCTACACTAGTTTTTCTTTTATAAATCCCAACTCTTGCGTAAGAAGTGGCGTAAGCACTTTCTAGCCAGGCTTTGTGCGTAAGCAAGCTTTATAAATGAGGCCCCAGATCTATTTGACTGAGTGGAAGAGATCTGTGTGGATCAGATCAGCTACCACCAAATCTTGTGCCGAACAACAGACCACTACACTAAAAGCTAACCAAGCTAACAGCAGCACCAGGGCAAGCAGTCCGGTGCTTTAGTGCTTAACTGTAGCTACCGGGTCCGTTTGTGTCTGAGAGGAGACTGGGCAATCCTAGTTAACAACTTAATTAACCGTCACAAAATTGGCTTCAGAGTTATTTTCTGCCAATTTATGTCAGTAGCTTACCTGATAAACAATGGCGGGAAGTTTGCATATTTTCTTCTGCGTTCTTCTGCATTGAATGGCATGTAATAGCAACTGCCATGGGGTGACCATCCATACTGGAGGGCGGGGTAGGCCAGCCGACCCAAAAATGACCTTGTTGAGACATTTGATGAGCTGGGACATTAGAGCACTTAATCCGCTACTGGGCCAATGCTTGTCAGACGTTGTAGGCCGGAGGCCGATGTGCCGCTCTGCGGCCGACATCGACACGACGTATGTGTGATATCTGGGCAATGATGTCATCTGCACAAAGCACACAATTAAGAATATTCAATCAATTAAAGAGGTTGTTTACAATAGTACAAAGAGTTAAGGTCCATGTATAGACCCGTGAGGCACCCCTAATGTAATATTATTAAGTAGTGGTGCAACAAATGTGAGGATGATATTGCTTCATATAGTCCATAAGCCAGACCACTGATTGCAATAAATCAGGTGGGCAATTTCTAATTTGTTTTTTGAGTTGCTCCACGTCCCTAGTTTATGCTTTGCCATGGTAACCCTTGCAGAGTGGTAGCTTAGTGATGGTTATCATGCATTTAATCTATGGAGTCCTGTTGCAGAAATACCTGAATTTCGTATGGTGCTTGTTTGCTATTATGGGGCTTGTGGACTACTTGTTGATCGCTCTGCCCACCTCAATAATTCTGATTTATTCCTAAGTCATTGGAGAACTGAAAATGAAATTTAAGACTTTTAAGCCATTTTTTTTTTAAATATTCATAGGCGGAAATAGCATTTTTATTTTTCTCTTGTGTATCTTTTCTCAGCAGAGTAATTGGGTAATATTTGCATCATTTTAGACACTTGATTTGAAATCTGACAAGTCTTACCTTTCAGCAGGTACCAAATTTATGCCTGTAGCCCTTATATTTTGGAAATACACACATTTTTATGTTCACATGCACAACAAGATTTTCTGGCTTCTGATATTTCCAAGCTGTTACTCTCATCTCTCAATCACTCAGGTAAGAAAGATTTTCTGTTTCCCATGTGAATTATTGAACCTACATTAATCAAACACATCTGGTGATAAAATAAAATATTTGGGGGTGTGTTATGGTGTGATATGACTATTACTGGTGAAGTGATGCCACTGGGGGTGTGACTGCTGCTACAGTGCTAGCTAAGTTTGCTGAGACAAATGATGGGGAGGGAGATTGATATTGTTTCATTAGAGGAGGAGATAGAACTGAATTTGGTGAATTGAAACCACAAAAACAATGAACCTGCTGTCACAAAAATGTTCCGTAAATGTTATGGGAGAAAAGCCAATAAATGTAATGCTAATCGTTGTTTTAGCAAATGCTAGTCAGCAAGCTAGCTAGCTAGCTAGTTGATCTGAAAGATAAACAAATTAAAGCTGCAGACACACACACACACACACACACACACACACACACACACACACACACACACTATACATTCTAGTACAACCTGTGTGTGTGTGTGTGTGTCTTTGTAGGCTTATTCACATTTTTAAAGGGGCAAGCTGCATATTGCGCATTTAAATTAGCAGATTATTGTCACAACCCTTTTAAAATACATTTTATCTCAGCAGGGCTCTCAAGTTTTGAACTAAGCTTAGAGTGAGATTTCCTTGGGGGGGGTTAAGAGTGATTGAAGATAATTATTAGTATAAAAATCTCTTAAATACAATGGAGTATGAGGGCCACATTAAGAAAAATAACGTTTTTAAGTCTTAGGGAATAAAGTTATTATTTAGGAGAATAAAGTCATTAATATATAAGAATAAAGTCGTAAAGTTACCTGTTGTGGAGGAGAGTTGTTAAAATCAGCACTGAGGAGCATTTAGATGAATTGTACTTTAGTATAGGTTTCACAAACATGGAGATACTTAATCCTTTGGTACATGAGCATTACACTGTCATGAGTATCAGAACTTTAAAAAAATATATGAGAAATGCTGCTTTTGTGGAGGGGAAAATGGCTGGAAATGGCTGTACAGAGGCTAAATTCATCAATACAGCTGTTAATAGCAATAGCATAGGGCTTTAGTTTATCATATGAGTTTATATGCCATGAGGTGTTGAGGTCTCTGCATGTTTAGGATACTGACTTACTGTAATCATCGGGTCTATCTCGCCTTTATAAAAACCTGCTCTATTTCGGCGAGTGTCTGTCTTCTTCTGTAGTCAAACCGCAAGATATCAAAATCGACCTGGATACAGCAATGCTGCTTTTTGATTGGCTGTTCAGTAGAAATACTTAATTTGATTGGCTTGCGCATGGCACGCAGCTTCTGAGCTCTCGGAGGAACTCAGCTGATTTCTGCCTGTTCTATTGTTACAGAGGTGGACATCTGCAACTTGGTGGACATCACCATGTTCATTTAAATGTGTGAGAAATACAATGTGTGGCGTGTGAGCGTGTGAACGGGTGGGAATGCATGTGTCACACGCTGAATGCATGAGACTTGAGAGCCCTGTCTCAGTGTTTCAGAAACTTGATGGTTGCCCTAGGAAAAACATGGCCACTGAATCCAGTGAAGGTGACAAACACAAAAAAGGTAAAGAATGTGCTATCCATTGCACTACTAGGAGGTGGCGATATAAACCTTTTCTTCCATCAATCATCATGGGAAACATCAACTCTCTGCCCAACAAAAGCGATGAGCTGGAGATATTGGCGAAGACTGAGAAAGCATACCATGAGTGCAGTTTCCTGTGTTTTACTGAAACCTGGTTGAATCAAAACAACTCGGACTACAGTGTGGATCTACCTGGCTTCACTCTTGTTGTACTATTGAGTTAAAATGTTTTCTTATATTTTTCTAAGTGTATCTTATTCAATTTGCTTTGTTATTTACTTTGTATGTAAATAAAATGTTGAACTAATCTCTAGTTTCTTTAGTTTTTAGTACAGATGCTGTGGTGAGACGCCTCCACCTCTTGCTTTATTTTGGTTGGACTTCCTGTTTTTTCTTTGTTTCCCTGGTCTGGCTTGACTATGTTTCAGAGCACCCTCCCCCTCCCCGGTCGCTTAGGCTGAGTGAGACTCCACACCTGCACTGCATCTACAATCAAGGCCAGCAGCCCTCAGTCTCAGCGCCTGAGTATTGTCTTCACTCCTGAGTGGTACAGACGCATCTCCTGGCCTTCTTCTCGGATAAGTGCTCGTGACTTTGCTCCCTGTGAATTTTTGTATGTCTTCTCACTTCCATCTCCTCTGTTTCTCCACAGTGTCTCCAGCCTGCCAGAAAACCGGACTTTCCTCGTGTCTTTATTCCCCTGAGTTTGGACATTAAAATTACATGTTTAATTTGCTATCTGTCTCTATGTCTGCTTCTGGGCCCACAAGATCCAACGCACGCTACAGAATACTCAGGCCAGGAAAATCGACCTAGCAGACCCAGACAGGTTCCAGCAAGCCATCCACAAGCTTGGGGCTCGCCTCGGTCAGCATGAGGATATGCTCCAGAGCCTCAATCAGTACTTCCAAGGTCTCTCCATCCAAGTAGCACAACTGGCGGATCAACTCCTCTCTCGGCTTCCACCGCAGAAATCTGGGTCTCCCCCCTCTGTGAGTACGGTTCCCTCTCCACCTTCTCCACCCTCTCCTAACATCAAAGAGCCCTATGTCCCTCCTCCTGAGCTGTATGCTGGGGAGATTGGGGGCTGCAGAGGTTTCCTGCTCCGTTGTGCTTTAGTGTTTGATCAACAGCCAATTAGTTATCCCTCGGATCAGTCCAAGATTGCCTACTGTGAACCTGTTAAGAGGCAAAGCCGTTAAGTGGGCTACTGCCATTTGGGAGAAAGATTTGCTGATGTTGTCCTCATACGCCAGATTCACAGAGGAACTTTGTAAGGTGTTTGGTTATCCTGTCGAGGGTCCCGAATGTACTTAATGGTTGTTTTCCCTCACCCAGGGCTCTCGGTCTGTGGCGGAATTCTCTATTGAGTTCCACACAGTGGCTGCCAAGAGTGGGTGGTGGGAACTAGAGTTAAAGGGTGTATTCTCTCATGGTCTGTCCGAACAGCTAAAAGATGAATTAGCTGCTCATGATGAACCCTCCTCACTTGAGGAGCTCATCGCGTTAGCCATATGGTTAGACAGTTGCCTCAGGGAGAGATGAAGGGAAAAATAATTGAATTCCCCTACCTGTAGCGTAGACTCCCCATCCTCTGTCGTGGTCAGCGGGTCTCCTTTGCAGCCCTCTGTTCATCTGGATCCGGCGTCCTCTGCCGGGGAACCCATACAAATCGGCCGCACCAAATTACACCCAAGGGAACGGCAACAACAGATGGAGCAGAAGCTCTGTGTTTATTGTTGCCAGGCCGGCCACTTTCTGCCCAACTGTCCTAACAACTTAAACAGCCAGGCTCATCAGTGACAGAGAGCACCCTGATGAGCCACACCTCCTCTGTCCCCAGCTCTCCCAGACATATCTCTGTACCTGCTTGCCTCCTGTGGGGGAAAGAATCTACGTCTCTCCAAACCCTGATTGACTCCGGGGCGGACGACAACTTCATTCATGCCGGACTGGCAGTGTGGCTTCAGCTCCCGCTGGAGGTATTCCCGGTTCCCCATAAGGTCACCCGCTCTCGATGGCAGGGTTATGGCTATCATAACCCACTGCACTACTCCTCTCACCCTCATCCTTTTGGGAAAACATCAGGAGGACATCCGGTTGTTCCTGCTCCCCTCTCCGCATTCATCCATAGTGCTTGGACTCCCGTGGCTGCAGATCCACAATCCCCAAATTAACCGGTCCACCGCTTTGATCTCCGCCTGGAGTCCTAACTGCCATTCTCACTGCCTCCGCTCCACCAATCCCTTCATCCAACGACAGAGGTCAGCACCGCTACCACCATCTCTCGCCTCGGTCCCCCCTGTTTACCATGATCTGGCCATGGTTTTTAATAAAGACTAATCTTTCGTCCTTCCTCCTCATCGCCCCTATGACTGCGCCATAGATTTGTTCCCTGGCACCCCTCTCCCCAGCAGCAGACTGTACAATCTCTCTCGGCCCGAACGAGAAGCCATGGAGAAATACATCCAGAATTCTCTGACATCTGGACTCATCCGGCCCTCATCCTCTCCACTTGCTGCAGGTTTTTTCTTTATGAAAAAGAAAGATTCCTCACTCTGTCCCTGCATCGACTTCCGCAAAATCACCGGAAAAAACAGATATCCCCTGCCACTGATCGATCCCTCCTTTGAATCTCTCTGCAACACCACAGTCTTCTCTAAACTGGATCTCCGTAATGCCTATCACCTGGTTCGCATCAGAGAGGGCGACAAGTGGAAGACGGCCTTCAATACACCCATGGGCCACTTTGAGTACCTCGTCATGCCCTTTGGCCTCATCAATGCCCCCGCTGTGTTCCAGGCTCTCATTAATGACGTCCTCCGCAACATGATCAAAAAATTCGCCTTTGTTTATCTGGACAACATTCCGATCTTCTCCCGCAACATGGAAGAACACCAACAACATGTTCGACTCGTCCTCCAGCGCCTCCTTGAGAACCGTCTCTTCGTCAAACCTGAGAAGTGCGAGTTCCATGCCTCCTCCGTCAGCTTCCTGGGATACATCATAGCCCGGGGGAGCTACATCCAGACCTGGAGAAAGTCTGCGCCATCCGTGACTGGCCCACTCCCTCCTCCCACAAAGACCTCCAGCGATTCCTTGGCTTCACAAACTTTTACAGGAGGGTCATCCGGAGCTACAGCAAGGTGGCTGTGCCTCTCACCCATCTCTCATCCCTCAAAGTCCCGTTATCCTGGACCCCTGAAGCAGACGTCAACTTCTGTCAGCTCAAGTCCCTCTTCAGCTCCGCCCCGGTGCTTAAACACCTGGATCCCTCTCTCCAATTTGTGGTGGAGGTCGACGCTGGAGTGGGGGCCGTCCTCTCACAGAGGGATTCCGAGACTCAGAAGCTCCATCCCTGCGCCTACTTCTCCCGGAAACTCTCACCCACCAAGCACAATTACGACGTGGGAAACTGTGAGTTGCTGACTGTTGTGTGGGCACTCCAAGAATGGAGACATTGGCTGGAAGGAGCACAACACCCTTTCCTCATCTGGACTGACCACAAAAACCTGCAATATCTCTGTTCTGCTTGACGCCTCAACTCCAGGCAAGCTCGCTGGTCCCTCTTCCTCAGCAGATTCTGCTTCACCCTCTCCTATTGTCCCCGCTCCCGCAACCTCAAACCTGATGCCCTATCTCGGATTCACTCCTCAGCTACCTCAGACCCCAGAGAACCGGACACATCCTCCCTGCCTCCTGTATCCTTGGCTCTGCCTCTTGGGAGATCGACACCGTGGTGGACAGGGCCCTCCGGAAACATCTGGACCCTGGAACCGGCCCTCCTGGTAGAAAGTTCATCCCTGAGGTTGCAAGTTCCCAGGTCCTACAGTGGGGGCACTCCTCTAAACTCACCTGCCAACCTGGATTTCAGCGCACCCTCCAATTCCTTCAGCAGCGGTTCTGGTGGCCGGGGATGGTCCGGGACATATGGGCGTTTGTTGCTGCCTGCTCCGTCCGTGCCCAAGGCAAAGCCTCCCATCAACCTCCATCTGGCTTGCTGCATCCTCTGCCTGTGCCCTCACGCCCCCGGTCTCACATAGCTCTAGATTTGGTCACTGGTCTCCCCCCTTCTGAAGATAACACAGTCATACTCACCATCATAAACAGATTTTCCAAATTTGTGCATTATGTCCCATTACCAGAGCTCCCGTCTGCTCTAGAAACTGCTAACCTCCTAGTGTCTCGTGTTCCAACTACATGGTATCCCCCTTGACATAGTGTCAGATCGTGGTCCCCAGTTCTCCTCCCAGGTCTGGAAAGCTTTCTGCCAGGCAGTGGGCGCGGCAGCTAGCCTCTCCTCGGGCTGAGGGCGGAGCGGGCCAGTCAAAACCTTGAGTCGGCTTTGCGGTGTGTTGCGGCCCATCATCCAGCATCCTGAAGTACACACCTCCCATGGATCCAGTATGCCCATAACTCCCTCATCTCCTCGGCCACAGGTCCCATCTTGGAGGTCTTCCAGTCTGGTTTTAAAACTCGTCACAGCACAGAGTCTGCATTAATAAGAGTTTTTAATGACATCCTCCAGGCAAATGACTCTGGTGATTATGTTATTCTTGTTCTGTTAGATCTAACTGCAGCTTTCGACACAGTGGACCACAATACTCTGGTGGCTCGGCTACACCACCTTGTAGGTATCCGTGGTACTGCACTAGAGTGGTTCAAGTCTTATTTGACCTACAGAACATTGAGTGTCAGCCTTGGAGATACAAAGTCCAGCTCTGCTCCACTGCCGTATGGGGTTCCACAAGGGTCGATTTTAGGGCCTCTGCTCTTTTCTTTGTATCTGCTGCCCCTGAGATCCATCCTTAGAAAGCATGGCATTACTTTTCATTGTTATGCTGATGATATGTGCCACTTAATAAGAAAAATGCTTTCTCCTTCACTCCACTTCTGGCATGTCTTGAAGACATCAAAGCCTGGATGGCTTTGAATTTCTTAAATTTTAATGAGAGAAAAACAGAAGTGATGGTCTTTGGTCCCAGTGGCCCTTGTGAAACCCCTCCTGTAGACTTGGGTATTTTAGCAGACTATTTAAAGCCAACCGTCTCAAATCTGGATTTTAAGATGGACAGTGATTTTAAATTTGTCAGGCAAATTAGCTCCATAGTGAAATCTAGCTTTTACCATATTAGGCAGCTGGCGAAGGCAAAGCCATTCCTTGCACGTAAGCACTTTGAAACAGTAATCCATGCCTTTGTTACATCTCTGCTGGACTACTGTAACGCACTGTATTTTGGAGTCAGCCAGCCCTCCCTCTCACATCTCCAGTTAGTACAAAACGCAGCTGCCCGGCTCTTAACTGGAGTATGTAAGAGGGAGCATATTACTCCCATCCTGGCCTCCCTCCACTGGTTACCCGTGCATTTTAGAGTTCATTTTAAGATTCTTTTATTTGTTTTTAAATCTTTAAATGGTCTGGCTCCATCTTACCTCTCTGAGCTTCTCCACCCCTACACCCCTGCTCGGTGCCTCAGGTCAGCTGATCAGCTGCTGCTGGAGGTATCGAGGTCCAAATTGAAGCTCAGAGAGGATAGATCTTTTTCTGTTGCAGCACCAAAATTATGGAACAAGCTACCCCTCCAAATTAGACTAGCCCTCACACTGTCCATTTTTAAAACTCGTCTTAAAACCCATTTTTATTCATTGGCTTCTAACCCTGCATGAGACTCGGCTCCTCTTTTAGTGTTTTATGGTTTGTTTTTTAGTTATTTGTTTCTATGTTTTTAAATTAGTTTTTTAAAAACATTGAAACTATATTTTACTTTTTAATTCTGCTTCGTTGTTTTGTCTATTTATGTACAGCACTTTGTTCAGCTGTGACTGTTTTAAAGTGCTTAACAAATAAAGTGGAGTTGAGTTGAGAATTACCCAAGCTCCCGTCTGCTCTTGAAACTGCTAATCTCCTAGTGTCTCATGTGTTCCAACTTCATGGTATCCCCATCGACATAGTGTCAGATCGTGGTCCCCGGTTCTCCTCCCAGGTCTGAAAAGCTTTCTGCCAGGCAGTGGGCGTGGCAGCTAGCCCCTCCTCGGGCTACCACCCGAAGACCAACGGCCAGACGGAGCAGGCCAATCAAAACCTCGAGTCGGCTTTGCGGTGTGTGGCAGCCCATCATCCAGCGTCCTGGAGTACTCACTTCCCGTGGATCCAGTACGCTCTTAACTCCCTCACCTCCTCGGCCACAGGTATGTCTCCCTTCATGCGCTGTTTTGGGTACCAGCCCCCCCTGTTACCTGAACAGGAGCACCCGGTGGCTGTCCCGTCGGTGAGGGAGCACATTGGGCATCTACGGGAGGTGTTGAGATCCGCCAGGGCCACACTCACCCGCACGGCCGAGCGCAACAAACGCCTGGCTGATGTTCACCTCTCTCCAGCACCAGACTGTCGTCCCGGTCAGATGGTCTGGTTATCGTCCCGTGACCTTCCCCTGCAGACCGAGCCCCGCAAGCTGTCCCCCGCTTCATCGGTCCCTTCCCTATCCAGAAAATTATCAACCCATCAGCGGTAAGACTGAAACTTCCCTCACCCCTCAAAATTCACCCCACGTTTCATGTCTCCCTGATGAAGCCTGTCACCTTGTGCACCCTGAGCTCTCCTTCCGTCACCCCTCTACATTCCACCCAAATCAACTGAAGAATGTTGCAATGTTTTGCAAAATAGTGTTGCCAGGGGACAGACTCAACATCCTGAGGCACTAATAATAATATCGGGACACTTCAACCATGTCACCCTCTCCTCTCACCTGACTGGATTTACACAGTTTGTGAACTGTCCTACCAGAGAAAACAAGACCCTGGATCTACTGTATGCCAATGTCAAAGAAGCCTACAGAGCCACTGCCTTACCACCACTGGGCAAGTCAGATCATAACTTGGTCTATCTGCAAACCTGTTACAGACCTTGCGTACTGAGGCAGCCTGTGACCAAAGTCAAAATCAGAAGATGGACACCTCAAGCCAGTGAAGCTCTAAGGGACTGTTTTAAATCAACAGACTGGAATGTGCTGCTGAAAACAGATGTGGATAGTATGAACATTGACAAACAGGTTGACTGCTTTACTGATTATGTCAACTTCTGTAGAGACACAGTTATATCCACCAAAACTGTTCGTTGTTTCCCCAACAACAAACCCTGGATCACAAGAGACATAAAAGCAATCCTTGACCAGAAAAAGACAGCTTTTGAAGATGGAGACAAAGAACGACTCAAATAAATGCAACAAGAGTTGAAGAGGAGACTGAAGATGGCAAAGCTGGAGTACAAAAAGAAGATAGAGAAGAATCTACAACACAGTAACATCTGTGAAGTGTGGAGAGGAATCAGTACCATCTCTGGACACAGCAGTAAAAAAAAAGACAGCCAGTGGTGGGTGATCTGGAAAGAGCTGATAAACTCAATCTGTTCTTCAACAGATTTGACACTGCTGTCACACACACTCCCACTCCTACTCCACCTTCTTCTCCGCAACAAATCTCCACTACAACTTCTCCCATTCCTCCTCCATCTCGTTCAAATGTCTCAACCACTTCAACTGCCTCCCTCCTAGAACACCAGTCCTTGTCTGTCACTGAAACAGGGGTGAGGATGGAGCTTGGAAGACTTTGTCCTGGGAAAGCAGCTGGTCCAGATGGTGTGTGTCCAAGGCTGCTTAGAGACTGTGCTGCAGAACTGTGTCAACCTCTCCACAGGATCTTCAACCTAAGTCAACAGCTGGGGCGGGTACCTACTCTGTGGAAAACATCCTGCATTGTGCCAGTACCAAAAACAAAATATCCTGCTGAACTCAATGACTACAGACCAGTGGCCCTCACTTCACACATCATGAAAACCCTGGAGCGGCTAATTCTATGCCTTCTGAGGTCTGAGGTCAAAGACAAACTGGACTCCCTGCAGTTTTCATACAAAGAACACATTGGAGTGGATGATGCTGTCCTCTACATGGTTTACCATGCCCTGTCTCATCTGGAGGAACCTGGGGTGTATGTGAGGATCATGTTCTTTGACCTTTCAAGTGCATTCAACACCATCCAACCTACCATACTCAAAGACAAGCTCACAGAGATGGTAGTGGATCCTTCCTGTGTTTCCTGGATCACAGATTACCTGACAGGAAAGCCACAGTTTGTCAGGCTGGGGAACTGTGTTTCTGGGACATTAAGGAGCAGTACAGGGGCTCCACAAGGGACAGTGCTGGTGCCATTCCTTTTCACACTGTATACGTCAGACTTCAAATACAGCACTGAGTCCTGCCACATCCAGAAATACTCAGATGACACCGCTATTGTGGCATGTATCAGAAATGGACAAGAAGCTGAATACAGAGATCTAATAGGAGCCTTCAGTGACTGGAGTCACAAAACCTGCCTCCTCCTCAACACCTCAAAGACAAAGGAGATGGTCATAGACTTCTGTAGATCCAAACCCCCTCTTAAGCCAGTGAACACCTGTGGAGTGGACATCGAAGTGGTGACATCATATAAATACCTAGGTGTACATCTGGATAATAAGTTGGACTGGTCTAAGAATATAGACTTCATCTACAGAAAGGGGCAGAGCCGCCTCTTTTGCCTGAGAAGACTCTGATCAATAGACATCTGTAGTAAGATGCTGCAGATGTTTTATCAGTCTGTGGTTGCAAGTGTTCTGTTCTACGTTACAGTCTGCTGGGGAGGAAGCATCAAACACAAAGATGAAAAACGTCATAAGAAACTAGTGAAAAAGTCTGGCTCTGTGGTAGGACTCAAGCTGGACTCAGTGGAGGAAGTGGTGGAGAGATCTACACTGAGGAATGTGGAATCTATTCTAAAGAACATGGATCACCCACTTCACAACACCTTGATGGACCAAAGGGCAAATGGTGGTGGACGGACCCTCTCTCTTCGCTACAGGACAGAAAGATTCAGAGGATCTTTTGTACCAACAGCCATCAGGCTTTATAACTTCTATGTAAATAATAGATAACTCTTATCGACATATTATGTGAGACAACAGACAATTGAATTTCCCTTTGGGGATCAATAAAGTTCTTCTTATTCTTCTTATTCTTATTCTGGAGTTTTGATCAGATCCAGCCAAAATTCTGCATATTATAACATGCATATAACAATGTATGTATTTCCAAAACTATAAGGGCTACAGGCATAAATTTGGTACCTGCTGAAAGGTGTTTTATATTACATTATACATTACCCAGGTGCTCTGCTGAGAAAAGATACACGAGAAAAAAAAAATTCTATTTCCGCCTATGAATATTTTTTAAAAAGAAGGCTATAAAAGTCTTAAATTTCATCTGGACAACAAATCAAACTATTTTTTTCAGTTCTCCAATGACTTAGGAATAAATCAGAATGATTTAGGGGTGCAGAGCAGTCAACAAGTAGTCCACAAGCCCCATAATAGCAAACAAGCACCATACGAAATTCAGGTATTTCTGCTACAGGACTCCATAGATTAAATGCATGGTAACCACCACTAAGCTACCAGTCTGCAAGGGTAAAAACTAGGGATGTGGAGCAACTCAAAAAAACTAACTAGAAATTGCCTACCCGATTTATTGCGATGGGTCAATTTTGGGGTCATCAGGACTAATACATCAGGATATCCTTTTTTGGGATCAATAAAGTTCTTATCTTCTCTTATCTTATCTTGTCATATCTTGTCTTATCTCACCGGGGGGGGGGGTTAATGCATGTGGATGAATTTTTGATGAAATCCATCACTTTTTTGAGTCCTGCTGACCCACCAGAACCCCCAAGATTTCTACCTCAAGGTTTACAAATGAGCCACTGCATGTAACCACTCAGCTGGACCAGTACAGACATGGTGGATGTCAACCTGCTAGGGCGAACAGCTGGTGGTGCTAAGTCATGTTAACATTAGCCACATTCAACAAGCCAATCTGATATTGGTCTGTGGCCTGCAGTTTTGCCTTGTTGAATAAATCTTTTACTCATAGAATGTTTTCTTACATTGAGATTAGTCACTTATTCAAGGCTTATATACAGTATCTGTGTTAATAACCTGGAAATAGTCCTCAGGCACATCATCACATTACACGGTCTAACTGATTGCCAACCTTGCTACTCAAGCTAAAAGTTGACACTTTGAGAAAAACGTCATCATTATAGATGGATTCAAAATGAGGGTTGACACCTCATGCACCTGGACCATAAATCCCATCCCCCACCTCCCCTTTCCCAGCATTCATCGTCCTCCCTTTCGACTCCTTGTAACACGAACACATCATTCATTCGTTTCCAGCCCCTGGTCCAATTAAAGAAGTGAAATCAAAGGAATTCATTCCCTCTCTTTTCATCTGGTTGTCATTCGCAGACAAAGGTTGACAAGCCCTCTGACAGCTCCCTTGTTATTAGCAATGCTGTTGCTATAGTAACAGCTCCACTTTACTCTGGTCAAAATATTTCTCTAACCACTCTTAAACAAAAAAAATGTCTGTCATTCAACAATAGTGCTCAGATACACCACACAGAAGCACCAAGGTCGTTTTGCACATGCCTGGTTGGTCCCTGCAGAAAGGAAATGAAAAGCAGGAAAGCAACATTTCTCATTTGAATCACATTAGAATAAAACCAAAAGTTTATGTAACATATGTTTGAATACCAATGCTGCCTTGGCTCAAAGGATTCCTACCAGGGGGTGTATTGCCCTTGACTATTTAATGGTGGTGGTCAAAAGGTCATTATTCCCTCTGGTGGGCAAGGTAAGTTGAGACAATAAAAAATGCATTAGTGAGGCTGTTTTTCTGCTCTCCACACTTCCTTTTTCAGTGTTAGTACCATCTATCTGCTCCCTCTACTGGGTCTCATTACCATGTAGAGACACTCACCTCCACTCATCGCAGTGATCAGTCTCCTCCAGCTCCACACAGTCAAGAGCTGCTGTTCAGGAGCTTTTATATCTTGTTTCTTTTCTTCTCCTGCCTCATGAGCCTTTCTAATATTCATAATTTCCTTGGGCCCACGTGGGACATATTTTCTTTGCATCCTTTATATTCAATGATAACCGAACAAAGAACTGTTTTTTTTAAAGCATGGTGAGGGGAGGGGTTTTTATCCTCAGACTGAAATAAGATGATGAAATGGAAAGTAAAAGTGATAAAACTTAAATACTTACAACACAGGTATCCAGAGGTTCACTGCTCTTAAATCACAGTGTATTCATACAGGGTTTCTGCTAAAGAATGTGTTGCAACATATTTTGCAAAGTAAGATAAACTGGAAGTAAAAGCACAATCACTCTGCAGGCAAAGCTACCTAAATCTGATTTTTTGCTCCAATCTAAATTATCTGATCTGTTTTGGGACAAGTTGAACATCAAAGGTCACATAAAATCTGTTTCAGGCATCCCCTGAAGAGCGAGAAAAGAGGCTGCATGAGCAGCATGCTGTTCATTGGTCTGACACCTGCTGACATCTATAATAATAATAATAATAATAATACATTTTATTTATAAAGCGCTTTTCAAAAACACAAAGACGCTGTACAGAATTAGGCAATAAAAACACACATCAATAAGTAATAAAATTTTCGGCAATATAATAAAAACATGTAGAATCAGGTAAAATCCAAATAACAATAAAACACACATCAATAAGTAATAAAATTTACGACAATGTCAGTAAAAACATGTAGAATCAGGTAAAATCCGATGGGGGGGGTCTAGGAAGGATGAAAGGCAGTGCGGAAGAGGTGGGTTTTGAGGAGGGTTTTGAATCTGGTGAGGTCAGTGCAGTTTCTGAGTTCGAGTGGGAGTGAGTTCCAGAGGGTGGGGGCGGCGGCTGAGAAGGCTCTGTCCCCCCAGGTTCGGTGCTTGGTCAGGGGAACTGTGAGGAGGTTGGCATTGGCGGAGCGGAGGGTGCGGGAGGGGATGTAGGGGTGGAGAAGATCCTGTAGGTAGGGGGGGGCGAGGTTGTGGAGTGGTTTGTGGGTGAGGAGGAGGATTTTGTATTGAATGCGGTGGGGTATGGGGAGCCAGTGAAGGTTTTGGAGGACGGGGGTGATGTGTTGATGGGAGCGTGTGTGGGTGAGGAGGCGGGCGGCTGAGTTCTGGATGAGCTGAAGTTTATTGAGGAGAGTGGAGGTGGTGCCATAAAAGAGACTGTTGCAGTAATCAAGACGAGATGAAATGAATGCATGTATAAGGGTTTCAGCTGCAGGGTAGGAGAGGGAGGGGCGGAGGCGGGCAATGTTTTTGAGGTGGAAGTAGGCTGTTTTAGTGATTTGCTTTATGTGGTGGGTGAAGGAGAGGTTGCTGTCGAAGAAAATGCCAAGGTTGCGACAGTGGGAGGAGGGGGAGAGGATGGAGTTGTCGATGGAGAGATGAAAGTTTGTGACTGTGGAGGTGAGGGAGTTTGGGCCAATGATGATGAGATCTGTTTTGTCATAATTGAGCTTAAGAAGATTGCTGTCCATCCAGTGTTTGATGTCAGAGAGGCAGTTTGAGAGGGAGTGTTGGGTCTGGGGGGTGATGGAGTTGGAAGAGATATATAATTGAATGTCATCAGCATAGCAGTGGAAGTGGAGGTTGTGTTGACGGAGGATGTGGCCAAGAGGGAGGAGGTAGATGATGAAGAGGAGGGGACCAAGCACCGAGCCCTGGGGGACACCTTGGGACACGGGGGCGGTTGTGGAGGAGCAGTTGTTAATATGGATGAAGTGATTCCGGTCTGTGAGGTAAGAGTGGATCCAGTTAAGAGCAGTGTCTGTGATATTGAGGAGGGAGTGTAGGCGGGACAGAAGGATGGCATGGTCGATGGTGTCGAAAGCAGCGGAGAGGTCGAGGAGGATGAGGATGGAGAGTTGGCCAGAGTCAGCAGAGATGAGGAGGTCATTTGTCACTTTGATGAGAGCAGTTTCGGTGCTGTGGTGGGTGCGGAATCCTGATTGGAACTGTTCATATAGGTTGTTATTGTTGAGGTGGGTTTTGATTTGTGATGCGATGACACGTTCGAGGATTTTTGACAGGAAAGGGAGGTTGGAGATGGGCCGGAAGTTACTGATGTCATCGGGGTTGAGTCCAGGTTTTTTGAGGATGGGGGTGACAGCAGCCAGTTTGAGTGACGGGGGAACAGTGGCGGAGTTGAGGGAGGAGTTGATGATCTGTGTTATGATGGGGGAGATGACGGGGAGGCAGTGCTTGATGAGGGAAGATGGGATGGGATCCAGGATACAGGTGGATGAAGACATGGAGCAGATGATATTAGTTACGTCAGTTGAGGAGACAGGTGAGAAGCAGGAGAGTGCTGATGGGATGAGGGGAGGAGGGGAGGAGCAGGGAATGGAGGGTGGGGGAAGGGAGTTATAGATTGCGTTGATTTTGTTTTGAAAAGAGGAGAGGAATGTGTTGCATTTTTCCGGGGTGAAGGTGATGGAGGTACTGTCTATGGGGTGGAGCAGTTTTTTGACGGTGGAGAAAAGAGCCTTTTGGTTACTGGAGCCGGAGTTGATGAGGTTGGAGTAATAGGATGAGCGGGCGGATTTGAGGGCTGTTCTGTATAGGTGTAGGTGGTCGGTGTAGGCTTGGAGATGGACAGTGAGGCCGGTTTTGCGGTGTAGACGTTCCAGTTGGCGTTTATGGGATTTCATTTTGTGTAGTTCTGAAGTATACCAGGGGGCAGAGTGTCTGAATGAAACTGTTTTTGTTTTGAGAGGTGCGAGCTGGTCCAGGCAGGAGGATACAGTGTTGTTGTAGTAGCTGAGTAGGTCAGGAAGTTTAGCAGATGGTGAGGGAGGGGATGCAGTGAGGGTGGCAGATAGGGAAGCGGAGAGGTCCTGTGGTGAGATGGATTTGAGGTTTCTGAAGGTAATTTGTCGTTTTTCACTGTGAGGCAGAGGGGGGGGTCGACGTTGAAAGTGACAGCCAGGTGATCAGATATATAGAGGTTGGTGGTGGAGAGATGGTGGATGGAGATGCCGGTGGAGCAGACGAGGTCGAGGGTGTGGCCATGGGAGTGGGTGGGGGAGTGCACATGCTGGGTGAGATTGAGGGTGTCGAGCAGATCCAGGAAATCAGATGCTTGTTTGCAGGTGGGGTTGTCAATGTGAAAGTTGAAGTCTCCAAGCAGCAGGACAGAGGATGAGATGGTGTTTAGGTGGGTGACAAATTCAGTGAAATCAGAGAGGAATGATGGGTGGTGCTTTGGGGGACGGTAGATATTAACAATGACCAGAGGGGTGGGACCGGGGAGTTTGACAGAGATATTTTCAAATGAGTGGACGGACAGGGTGGGGGCGGGGGTGGTCTTGAGGGTTTGTTTGTAAATGACTGCGACGCCTCCGCCTCGTCCAGTGAGGCGGGGTTGGTGCAGGTAGGAGTAACCGGGGGGGGGTGGCTTGGTTGAGTGGAAAGAGGTCGAGATGGTTGTGCCAGGTTTCAGTTAGATAGAGGAAGTCCAGGTTATTGTCTGTTATGAAGTCAGCTAGGATGTGTCCTTTGTTATTGAGGGAGCGGGTGTTTTGAAGGGCCATCTTCAGGGGAGGGGGCTGTGGGGTGGGCAGTGAGGCAGGGGGAAGGCAGCGGAGATTTGTTAGATTTCTTGTCCTTTTTGGATGCATGGGATTTGAATGGGAGGGTCCAGTAGTTGTAATTGTTTTAATTGTTTGCAATTGTTTGCAAGGAGAGTCTATGGTTGAAGGGTGTAGTAGCTGTTTGGACCAGGAGGGGGAGCTTGATGTGGTGGGGGCGATGGGGTTGGTGCGCAGTACCAGTTGGGGCCTGTTGGGGGAGCCGGTGGTGAGGGTGGTGGGGGCGAGGGTTCCGGAGGGGGGCCTCTGGGGGGCGCTGTTTCCAGGTGGGGTAGTGGGAGAGGATGACAGGGAGTATGTAAATAGTGATAGTCAGTTGGTGTGTATGTGGTGTTGGATATTAGCGGCAAGTGTCTGATGGCCCAGTTTGTTTGGGTGAAGTCCGTCATTAGAAAAGAATGGGGGTCGGTTCCAGAACAGGTTGAAATTGTCAACCTGGGGGGACTCAGCGGTGCGGTGGATGCCAGCGGCTGTGGGGATGGTCTGCCACTTCGGTCCGGGGCAGCTGAAGCGGGCCCGGCGGAGTTCCGTCGGACTGCCTCCCGGAGAAACCTCCTGCGGGCGGCCGAGGACGCGGGCCGGCTCTCCGAGCGGTGGTCAAGGCGGGTTCCGGGACACCGCGCGCGACCAGGGACAGTGATTTCAAACATTCAAACATATCCATACAGAAACATGAACTCTTCTTGTTGATGCTTGCCTTTTTTGGGTCATTATTTATTGATAATGTGTCATTATCACGAAAAACTCCTCACAGGAGCTTACACCCACAGTAGCTTCAAACTTGTTAGTCAGAAATCCAACAATATGGATGCTTATTTGTACAGCTCAGCGAAATTGTTGAAGTTGTTTGTATGACCTTTGGCTCCCCTGCTCCTGTAAACCAAAACAACAGGGGAAAAAACACTCATTTGCATTTATGTTGTATTGTTTTTTGGTATTGCAAGACTTTAAAGAAAGCAAAGAGTTGTTAATTGGCACCGTGGGGCCACATCTGGGGTGCATGTATGGGCTTGTTTGCAGTAAATTTTAAAAAAGAACTTTATTTTTTTCTGTTGTCTCTTTCTTACCTTCATTCCAACAGTTTGGTTGACTTGTTTTGCTCAAGGAGAGACAGTTAAAAGTCTTCTTTATTCATCCTCCACTATAATGGAGATAGAAACTTAAGAATCCTTATGTCATTTGTCAGTATTAAGTTTGCCAAGAAGCAACAGAGGGCAACTTTGAGCCTGCAATCATCCATTTTCACTTAATTTTCTCCCACATTTTTTCCAGCTAATTAGTCTTCCTCCCATTTGAGACACATTGTTCTGCTTTAAAGGCCAGTTCCAGCAGAAATATACCATGCTCCATGCTAACACACTGTAATAAATGACTTTCTCCCTGCCCCCCATTTTCATTTTATGGACACTTTTCACCGTCTGTTTCTCTCCTGTGTGCTGGTATTTTCCTTGTTAAAATGAGCTCTTATTGACATTTACTGAGGAAATAAGCAAAAATGTCAGCGCTTGCACCTCCAATAGTGTTCTTATCTGTATTTGAAGAGTTTTTTTACGTTCAAGAGTGGAAAAACTTTTTTACCAATTTGCAGCTCAGTATTCCTGGAGCCGGCAGTGGCAGGGAGACAGCAACACTTTGTAAAGCCCTCTGTCACACTCAGGTTTCTCTTTTTCCTCACACACAGAAACACATGCACATTTCTAAACATAAAGTTAGTCAAGAGAGGCAGGAGAGCGCTGAGTGCATAGAAAAGCTAATTTTGAATAGGCATAACGGTCATACACTTGGACATAAGCAGGGACCATTGAGTTCACCAGCACTGAGTTTGATGGCTTTAATCAGAACTACTGCATTGACTTTGAATTGTCATATTTTCTGTGTCTGATGTGTTTGTACTGTGGAAACACCTTTATGTATTGCATGGTCATTTAGAGCACTTACAGAGTGTTAATGTTTTTCTACTGTTTGGCATGATAAATTCAATAGTTTAGACCCAACAGAGGCCCATTGTATGTCATACACATGTAAAATTCAACCTTATGATCTTGAGGCAAAAATCAGGAAATATAGCCTAACTATCTTTGATGTGAAGAGTATAGAGCTTTAGTTGTGATTAGATCTCTGCTGTGCCTTGTGTATAAATGTACCTGTTTCTTTACTTGGAAATTCCCTGTGCTTTGTAGAGGTTAGCTATCTGGTACAGCCTTTCCAGTTTGACATTTCTGTTTAACTCCTGCCCTTGCCGTTGTGATTATGTGGTTTTATTTTGTTTTTGTTTGTTTTTGTTTGTTTTATTTTCTTGTTTGTTTGTTTTGTTTTTACAAGAAACACTGTAGAAACAGTTGCTTTGTTGCTATAAATCAAATTTGTCCCCCATGTCTGACCACCATAGAAGTTGCTTTGCATTTAGGATGTGTTTGTTGTGCTTCCTTCTTCAATCACTATGTTTCTTAAGGTCCCTTACCAAAAAAAGTATATTTTTAGAAGTGTGCGGAAGTTCATTTTAGTATACTTTGATACAAATACACTACCGCTGTACTTACAAGTAAACTTCTTGGGACTACATTGGCCCAGTTTTAGTTCATCAAAGTACACTTGAAGCATATTTGAAAATAAACTTCTTTGTATACTATTAGTTTACTGGTAATAAACTTGTAGTCCACTTTTTAGTGTTTAAAAGTACACTTTGAAACATACCTTTATATTCTTTTTTTTTTTTTTTTTTTTGGGGGGGGGGGGGGGGGGGGCCCTCAATGGGTAGGACATAGTGGCAATGTGGGAGATGGGGGCTGACATGCAGCACATGGTCAGGACAGGTATCGGACCTGTAACCATAGCAGGGACCACAGTCCCCAACATGGGAGGCCTTAATCCACTTGGCTATCTGTGCACCGACTCTAAAGCACAATTAAAATGACCTTTTGGATGCTATTATTTCTATATGAGCACATATTTGTATACTTGTGTTGTACTGCTTATCTTTTTAAGAGTATACCCTATAAGAGTACTAGAATTCTTAGTACAAGCCAAGAATACTTAACTTTAACTTTAAGTATAACTCTGAAAAGTGTGTAAAAAGTCAACTGAAAACATACTAATTTTAAAAACAGTACTCAAAGTACACACTTCTTTTTGGTAAGGTGTACACGGAGTGATTTATCTGTCCGTGTTAGTTTAATTGTAATGAGCTGTAGAAAAAGAAATAGACACCATGGGCTCTATTTTGATGCCTCGCCGGAGACGGGCCGCAAGCGCAGCGTCAGTCAGATCCGCTGCGCTGACAAGGCGTTCCCAAGCACATTTTGGTATTTTGGTGAGCCGCGCAGCCCGGCGTAAGTATCCCCCCTCCCTAACTCAGCTCCTCCCAGCAGCATAAGTCGTAGACGGGGAGGAGAGAGGGCGTGTAGTAGATTTAACACAGCCGAGACCTGTTTTCTCCAATCACATAAGCTCCTCTCCTTGCCTTTAAATCCACCACCGGCGAGGCGTATCACTATTTTCATGAGGTAGTCAAAGAGATCGAGAGATGTCTGAAGACAGTTATGCCACACGATGGCGACAGAGGGCAGCTGCTCAACAAGTGTCCTCCACACTCTCTCATCTGAGCACAGATGGATTTGGTGTGTTTAATGTTGGACCCACTGGTAAGACAAACACCCTTTTCCACAAATAAAGACACTCACATAAAGTTGCATATATTCAAACCTCACGTGACAAAGGTGGGTTTAGCACACAGATCACAACATAAACTCCAAAAATGGCATTAAATAAATTAAATAAATTTGGCCCACAAAACTGAATATTATAATATCCGTATGTTGGCTTAAAGTAGATTACGCATCTGAGCACTGAAACAAATCATCTGTTCAGCCGCAGCAGCAAGCAAGACGGACAGAGCACACGGAGACGTGTCCAGGTCGAGCTGTGCGAGAAATAAGAGGAAGAAAGAAAAGGAGGGAGACACATTACATATCTTGTTAACTTCATCGTGTGTTTATTTACTAGATATTTAATTTAATTTGATGCAGTTTCAGCTGTATTGATTCGGTCAGGTTGTGTGCCCAAACGCGTGCCAAACGCGTGCCAAACGCGCTCATCCGATCAGATATAGATCAGAATATATCGATATAGATCTAAATGTATGTGCTGACTCAGATTATTAGTTGTTGATGATTATTTATTGCACTGAAATCTGCCTGACACTGTGGAAACCTGCCGGTGAGGCATCAGTGACGTATGTCGATACGCCGCCGTTCTACCAAAATACTACTAGACCAGCTGCGTTCCGTCTTGCGCTGAAAGCTGACCAGGTTTGAATCGGCGAGCTTTCAGCGCACGTTACACGCCGGTGGCGAGCACGAAAATGTCACTGCGCCAGCTGATTCTGTCAACACCTCCCCCTGCCACGCCACCACGCCCAGCTTGGCGGATCTCGGCTCGCCTCCGTGCGACTCAGTCCACGAAAATACCAAACTCGCCTTACGCCGGGCTCTGCCAGACGAAAATACAACTGCGCGGGGCTCGCCGCCCTCCGCCGCCTCACCGGCGCGAACGAAAATAGAGCCCTCTGTGTGTGTACACCACTGTTTTCTACTTCTGTATCAATTGAGCCACTTCTGTCAAAAAGTCTGAGTATGCTGCCGGTTTTAGTTCTGACAGCCTGATCCTTCTCTTCCTCCACTCTTCACTGTGCAGGCTCCTCTTGACACCACTGTGTCAGCACTTTACCTTCAACATGAACCAGCATCCGTCTCATGATGTACAAGAACCTAAAGAAAGCTCCCCCTCTCAGGAGAGCATCTGTTCTGAGGAAGCTATTTAGGGCTTTTTCCTCACCAGCACTCAGACCGCTCCTACCTGGGGCTCCTCGTCGAGACATTCCTCGTCTAATTCTCCAAATGTTTGAGTCAAACAACACTAAGTTATATTCTGATTGTGGTATGTCTGGCACAGATATTGTCTTTATGAAACCCGATGTCTGTCGTTCATTAAGCTAGAAACTGCATACTGAGTAGTGTGGCAGGATTTCTGAAACTTGAATAATTATGACTACCAGCTGTTTACACAAGGGCTAGTGGATTGATGTGATTATCCACATGATGTATCCATGGCCCCTGAAGACAAACACAGAAAAAGTGCAATTTTTCACAGAGCTACAGCAGTACAAATTGCAAAAAAGGTGTGGCACTTGGCTGAAAGAGGAATCAAGCAGGTGTACGTGAATTTTTAACTTGATCATCATCTGCTGATTTTTGAAGGGGAGTTTTGAAGCCAGGGGCTGATCAAGGGGTTGGCCAAAGGAGGCTGTGCCCCCCCAGTAGACTATTCGCCATCCCAAAATCATGATTGGCTGTTAATGGCTCTTAATTTAAATAGTGGGGGGCCTTAGGGATATTTTCGTTCACTTTTGTCTAAAAGCGCCAAATTTGGCACAGGTGTAGCTCAGGGCATACTTAAATGATTTAGCTAGGGCTTTGGGGTCGCCACAGCGGCCAATCCAATATGGCCGCCACTTGTAATAGCTTTTGTCTCTAACATTTGAAACAGATGAGCTACAAATGTAAACTTGGTGTCTATTCATGTGTTTTGACAATTAGAAATGTGTTGGAATGCTCTTTTTTATTTTTGGGTGTGTCTAGACCCCTAATTTGCATATTTCCAAGTGGCGTTTTGCTATTCTGAAGACATTGGATGTAACTTGGCCATTGTTATGAGTAAAACCTGGTGCAATAGGTCTAATTCAACTAATTCTGACATGCATGATTCCTTTCTGATGTTTATATGAAATGTCAGGGGTGGTGGTGGTGGGGGGGGGTTGGCTGTGGTTGTGACATTTTGAAGACATTGGTTTCGCTTAAACGTCATAGGTGGTGAAAACATGCTGCCGAAGATTAGTAGGAAGAACAATGCCATCTTCATTGTGCTGTTTACACACTGCACATGCCAGTGACAGCTTCACCTCCATGACTCGTTTATACGACACTGAGAACCCTTGTAAATGAGCTTCATTAATTTCATTTTTACGGCGTCCATTGCCATGGAGTTTAAGGCCCTGATAGAGCGGAAAGGGTGGTTCTCGATCTTTGCTGTGGCGTATTGTGTCCGTCTTGCAGGCATGACGGGTGCCGCCATATGCATTGTACTGTTGACACTGGGCAATGAGACATGCTATTTTTGATCTCAGCTTCAGGTTGTCATCTTCTGTATTATCCTCATAGGCTTTGAGGAGTCCTGGGGCCTCATGTATCAACGCTTGCGGCGCAAGAAAACCTTGCGTACGCCAAAATCGGCGCACACGTCCAGATTTATCATCGTGAAACGAGCGTCGGTTCCAGCGCTAATCAACGCAAAGTCAGGAGGTGGTGTAGAAATTGGCGTTGAGCAGATACTTGCGTTGACTGTGATTCGCACTTTGGCGACGCTGTGTGGCGGTGTTTGGTGACTCACTATGTGACAAGCGTGCACCACATCCCCGTGGCCGAGCAGCACGTCGCCCCACATGACGAACCAGCAGCAGACGGAGGGATGCGAGCTGATCCCTGCCGGGCCGCCGTCCTCGCGCGGGAGAATCTCATCGCCACAGTGTGAATGGGTAAGAAGTGAATACACAGTTCAATGAGCCAAATTAATTTATTTTCGCCACCAGACGCTCGAGGACATTTACGAGCCGGTCCAACCGCTCGTTGATCCCCGCGATCCCCCTGATGATTTCTTCCTGCGATTGCAGGACCCCCTCCGCGAGGACCCTTCCACTGCGTCCGGGTGGTCCAGCGGAAGCGCCGCGGCTGGTGGACGCTCCAACGCTTGTCGGCGCGCTGGTGCTGATGCTGGAGCTGGTGCTGGGGCCGGGTGCCGGGGTGGCCCGAATGGCGCTGGTCCTGGCCGACGACTCCGGGCCGGCGGACGGGCTGCCGCGGGCCGGGGTTCCGCAAGCCGGCGACACGGCTGACACATTGATTTCTGTGACACAATAAAAATATTTGTTCATTTCAATTCCTGCTTCTGTGTATCTGTTGCATTTACATCTCTCTCCACGGTATCATAGGTAATGTAATCCAGTATTTCGAGGTCAGTTATGCACATTACAGTTGTTTATTGCATAAAAAGTTATCGAAAAATGAAGTTAAGGGCGAAGTATAAATCACGTCTAAAAATAGACTGAATCCTGACGTTGAAATGAAGTATAAACTTAGACTAGACGTCTAATATACGTCTTTTGCTCAGTGGGATGACAAAGCATGTGGACATTTGTGTGACACGCCACTTACCCTATAATAATAATCGCCACCACCCGCTGCTCAAACGGTGTGAGGGTCTCCTCCCCCGGACCCCCACCTGTCTGGCCAGTACTCCTCCGGAGGGCAGCTGTACGCCGCTTGACCTCCACCTTGAGGTCCGACCACTTTTTTTTAATCTTCGCGGGGGTGCGTGTCTCGGAACCCACCACATTCACCCTCTCGCAAACTTTCTCCCACTCCAAGCGTTTTTGTTTTGCACTGACGCCACTGGACAGGCTGCCAAATAAAACACGCTGTCGCTCCTCCACCTCCGCCACCAGCACCTCCACCTCGCACGCCGTAAATTTAGTTTTTCTTGTCATTTTGTCTGCGTGCGAGAACAGGGAGACCCTATTTAAATAAATCTGCATATTTATAGGAGGGCGTAACGGGGACGGGCCCAGTCACTCCGACATCTGCGCTCAATTCCACGCTGATTGGGATTTATCAAGGAAACACACGTGGATTTCGGCGCCCGCACACATTGATACATACGGATTTTTTTCAGCGTGACGGACCTTGCGTGCGCTCGTTTCTGGTATGAGTTCCACGCAAGTGTTGATATATGAGGCCCCTGGTCCTTGAAGGACAATGTCATTGAATACTCTTAAAGGTTCAGGAACAGATACCGTGAGACAGTTGGAAGGTAAGGTGCCATCAAATTTGTGTCCTGGTTGTAAACAATACTTGTGTAAAACCAAGGCAGCCCTTGTCAACAAAAGTGCCTCATCTTGATCAATCTGATTGGAATCATGGCCTCTAGCTACACTGTCTGCCACTTTTTGCTTGCTTGCAATGTACGTCTCCCTCCCTTTCTGGTGTTCACTCCAGTCAGGCAGAAAAGAGAAGAGATGTGTCTTGAATCTTGTTGTGTGAGGTTCATTATAACAACAGACATGCCCACGTTCATTCATAAGGGTTCTATAGAGTTGCCTTAAATTTGAAATTGTGAAGGAGCAATCTGAATCCTCAACTAGGGCAACAATTTGCGCTATAGTCAGAGGGTCAAAGGTTTCCCTGGATAGACGCTTCTTCTTCTGATATGCTGGAAGATGTTTTATGTGTATCAATTGTGACATTTATACATGAAGGAAGAGCATTCGCAATTTCAATGAAATCTTTGAGATCCTTTTCCAGCGACAAAAGTCCTTCGCTTTTGGGTGTTTGTAAGGGGTCATCAGACTGTAATTGGCAGAGACAAAATAAGTCCCAATTGATGCTGCTGCTGCTACTAATAGTATCAGATGATGTAGTGGCCATATTGTTTGATGGACTCACATAGCTCCACTGACTTTCTCTACTTTTACTAATGTTAAAGTGAAATATATCTGTAAGATACAGCTTTACATTCTATCTGTGTGAAAATATATGTGCAATACATTTTGGTGGATAATGGCTATGTTGTTAATATGGAAATTAAAGTGCTCTAGATATATTTAATCATAAATCTGATCATTCCAGTATGTTTCTGATGCTCAAAAAACCTAAAGTTTGCCAAAAGTATCAAAAGTTAAGGTACACCTATTTTTTACATAGCCGCCATCTTGGAAATATGCTAATTAGGTGTCCAGACACACCCAATCATAAAGATGATTTTTCAATAATATTTCTAATTGTCAAAAAACATGAAATAGACACCCAGTTTGGATTTGTAGCTCATCTGGTTCAAATGTAGAGGCAAAAGCGTGTTCAGGTGGTGGCCATATTGGATCAGCCGCTGTGGCGACCCCAAAGTTCACCGGCGCGGGCGCCCTAGCGAAATCATTTAAGTATGCCCTAAGCTACACCTGTGCCAAATTTGGTGCTTTTAGACAAAAGTGAACGAACACACCCTAAAATCTCCCTAAGGCCCCCCACTAAAAGGCAATATGAGGAATAAAGGAACTAGGCTGCAATCACTGGCTTGTTTCAAGCTTAGCATTTCAACTTACTGAGTTTCGATCCTGTGAAGAGTTTTTTGACATTAATGAAATTGACTGAAACTCATATTGATGCTTTTTTTATGTCGTACCAAAGCAAACAAGACCATCAGTGACAAGGTTGGTGGTTATTATACAGTCGTTTTTTAATGCCGTAAAGTGGTGAGAGGGGGTAGGTGTAAGACAAGAATAATTCATAGACTAAGGAAAAGAATAAGAACTTTATCTATCTCCAAAGGGAAATTCAATTGAGTTTGGTTGAACTGAATTATTGATCCAAATTGAACAATTGAACTAAATATTCACAATAGATGATACACCTCACTGTGTAAAGTGACTAAGATGCACATTTTTTCAGGGGACAATCAACTCCTGTGAGGAACTTTCTGTCAGTGTCGACATTGGTGCCCCTTGTGGACTAAGTGGTAATCTTTACAACCTTGCTGATTTAGCATTTACAAGGCATCAAAATCCCAATAGTCAGATTTGCTTTTGTACATCATAGAGTTGCATCACAGTTCATTTCAGTCTGCTTTGTAACCAGAAACTCCCAACAGGGGCTCCAAGCATATACAGTAGAGGACAAGATAACAAAGACTGTATTGACCACATGGGGAAGACTATTAAAAACCACAAGTTCCCTGACTGGAGCTTTAAAATACTGTAAACTTTAAGCCAGGAATACTTAAATGTTGCCACTCGCTTGCATCAATACTTAAAGCTTGTGTGTACTACTTTTGTTTTTTTGTTGTTTTTTGCCTGTCACTGTGTACAAGTAGGGTTTTTCTGACAGAAAGTCTCATCCTGTTTTTTTAATGTACAAATATTTCACTTAGAAGATGTCTGTTTAGTTGATAATTCATGTTAAACTTTCCCCTTTTTTTTGTCCACTACCCCCTGAAAGCTGCTGGAGGGATGAAAAAACAACATTTTAGAAATGATCAGTCTTGTTCACAGCCTTGCCATCTGGCAAACAGCTACAACAAACCCACCTGTGAGTTAGATAATCATGATCGTGCATTGCTACACAAAACTCCTTATCCACAGTTCAGTCAGGTACACTTTGTCAAAATTGCTAGCTTTATTGTGCAAGTTAAATTTGGCGGCATGATTCTGTTCCGGGTCCCTGCCCAAGGCAGGAAGAGCACCTTCCCGCCCTCCACGAGCCATCATGAAGGTGGGGGCGGTGGGGGTAGAGCAGCGATGAACAAAACCCCCCCGGAACAGGAGTGCTTCAAGGGGAGCGGAGCAATTAGCTGGCACAAGGGCGGAGCTGGGGTGGCGGTGGGTTGCTGGTTAGCTGTCAGAGCAGAGGAAGAGGCTGGGTTAGTGCACTTTTAAATAAGGCGCTCTATAGGCAAAGGGCCAATAGGAGCTAGGAGTGAATCAGCTGATTATTATCTGGTTGAGGTGGCTACTAGCCATTGGCTGCAGATCAGCACTTGATATTGTGTCCTGACAGAACAAACGCTATGCTTCATTTCAGTCAGGTACACTTTGTCAAAATTTTTTGCTTTATTGTGCAAGTTAAATTTGGCGGCATGATTCTGTTCCGGGTCCCTGCCCTTCCACGCGCTTGCGTGGAAGCCTGAGGCAGGAAGAGCCCCTTCCTGCCCATCACGAGCCATAAAGAAAGGCGATAGCAGGGAGCGCACGTGAGGTTCTGTTCAGGGCCCCTGTTCTCCACGTTGGCATGGGTGAAAGGCCAGCGGTAGGAAGAGCACCTTCCCACCCTCCATGAGCCATCATGAAGGCGGAGGCGGCAGGGGTAGAGCAGCGATGAGCAGAACCCCCCCAAAACAACCATGCCGTTCAGTCTAAGAGCTAGCAAGGGGAGGTGAGAGCTGCCGAAAGAGAGATGGGTTAGAGAGACTCGTTGCCCAAGCATGGATAGTTATCTGCAGGGTATTTATTTATATATTTCATTTAATTACATCTATGTGCCAAGTTATGGTTACTCATGGTTTTCTGAGCTTCTAGAATGTCCTGAGACTCGGGGCACAGATAGCATTCATACGCGGCAGACGACCATCGGCCCATGGCTTTGAGGGTGGACACAGGAGTCGTAATAGCTGCGGTTGTAGCTGCACCTATGCGAAATGAATGAGACGTGTAACAACCTGGAGGAAGTCCGCAGGACTGGCAGAGGAGGTGGAGGTGGGTAGCGAACCAGGCTTTGGTCATGGGTTCCCCTTTCTCCGTGGCAAACAGCGGCTCGAGCTGGCTGGCTCGGGGACGGCTTCTCAGATAGCGGGTCATGGAAGCAAACGGACAGAAAGGAGAATTAGTTTGAGCAATGAGAACTGTGGTCCCTTTCCTGTCTCTATCTGTCTTGGAATGTTTAAGAAAGACACTGAAATGGTGACTGTGGACTGTAACGTCAGCATAACGTAATGGAGAGGTCGTGAGAAGGGTCGAAATGTTTAGTGTGAGCAGTAAATTCTCCACCTCTAAGGAAACCATAAAAAGCTGTGAGAAAGACTTTTTTCAAAAGTAAGTCTGAATATGGCCCAAAACACCCCTTTTTCAAATGCGTTATTAATTTGTGCAAGAGAGGTAAAGTGAAAGGAAGACGGATATCTTGGCCTTTTGGTTTCTCTTTCTTAAATCCATTCAGCAGGAGCTGGATTGAAGGGTTTCCAAGCAGGCTGCTGGCAGATGGATCCAAACACTGCAGGTGGAACTGCATCTTCCGAGACTCAAAGCAGTGGACCAAGAAAACGCATACAATAGAAATTTTTATGGGAAACATAGGAACAGAGTAGGTGAAACAGAATGATGAGAAATAGCACCATGCAGAGTCATACACTTTCAATGTTGATTGGGCTAGTCCGGATCTCATGTATCGGGAGGCTGAATGCATGTATGATTGCAGGGTAGAGTCTAGTCCAGAACGGTCTGATTGAAAGGAGGGCAGGGAAGGCCAGAGAGAGCTGCTTCTGGACAAATTTTTCAGAATTTCTGAAATTCAAATTGAGACAGGCCATCAGCAATCTTGTTGTCTAAACCCGGAATGTGAGCTGCTCTAATGATAAAATTACCTAGGACTGAAATCCAAGTCAGGCGTCTTAAAAACCTATTAATAAAGGGTATAGAGGAACGCCCTTTGTTAATGATATGGACTGCTGCTTCATTGTCACAGAAAATGGTAATTTGTTTCATTGACCAGTGTTTACCCCAGAGTAGGCATGCAATGACTATTGGATAAATTTCCATTAGGGCTGAAGAGGTGACGTTGCTTGGCAAAGACGACAATTCTTTTGGCCATTTGTCGGCAAACCACTGGTTGTTATAGAACCCCCCAAAACCAATGGAAGGGGCTGCATCAGTGAACAAACAGATTTTCAGGGACGACTCAGAGCAATCATTGTAAAAAAATGAAATACCATTCCATTTCTCGAGTAACAGGGACCAGAATCGGAGTTCTGATCTGCATCCTTCGTCTAATGTAATGGGTGCGGCTAAATGGCTGGCGGTTTTTGATATGTCGAGAAGCCTGGATATGAAAGAGCGGCCCTGGGGGATAACTCGCATGGTAAAATTTAAATGGCCGAGGAGGGAGAGCAAGTATCTTTTTGATATTGTTTTAGAATATTGCACTTTCATAATTTCTCTGATACGAGTTTATTTATTAATGGGTAGGGAAGCCTGCATTAAGTTGCTATCTAGCACGATACCTAGGAATTCTATGGATTGGAGAGGATCAGAAGTTTTTTCCTCGGATAATGGCACCCCTAAGGTAGCGAAGGTAGATTTGAGTGTGGAAATAGCATGGTCAGGCTTGGCATTGGGAAAATCGATTAGCAGAAAATCATCAAGCAAGTGGAGCACAAATGGAAGCCTGCAGTTATTCAGCAGAATCCAGCAGAGGGCCTCTGACAGCGTGCCAAAGATCTTGGGGCTTCTGCGGCACCCAAAAGTGAGTCTAACTGCGAACTACAGTTTTTCTCTCCATTTGTAGCCGAAGAGATGCCACTGAGAGGGGTGTAGGGGCATAAGTTTAAAAGCATCAGTGATGTCTGCTTTAGACAGCCATGCGCCCCTGCCTGCTTTTTTAATAAGCTGGATGGCATCGTCAATTGAGGCATAAAACTGAGAGAATGGTGGCAGAGGAATGAGGCTATTGATGCTGTTTACTGAATCATTGTGAGGGGCCAATAAGTGTATGATCAAGCGTTTTTCTCCGGAGTATTTTCGAGTGGCTATGCCTAGGGGGTTAATGCGTGTTGTAGGAAATGGTGAATTAATGAACGGACCTATCATGAAACCTTTTCTAACTTCCTTCTCTAGTAGAGTGTCAACTATCTCGGGCTCCTTTAAAGCAGATTGTAAGTTATTACACACGAGACACATTAGGTAACCATGCAAGACTGTCCAAAAAACCTTGAATGAGTCCAGTTATTAAGTAATTGACAAAGCATTGGTTTGGGTGCTTTTGCAAAGCCTTCTTTAGCTCAGGCATGTTGATAGGGGTTGATGGTTTTATTGTTTCTTCACAAGGCGGGATCGTCTTGGGCATACAGATCTGGGGTTGCCCCTCCCCGCAAAAGTTGCAAGCGTAGATATATTTACAATTAGTATATTTGCACACGTTTTCGTTGAAATTAATACAGATAGGGGTTATGCTGGGTTTCACCTTGGTCTTGTATCCAAGGTCTCTAAGTGGTTTTACAATAGCCACGGATTTCGGGCATAAGTTAGAGGAGTGGGAAAAAGAGCTGCATATAGAGCAGGAGAGAGCCTGATGGCCGGTACAGTGCCTGCTGATCAGGGCCAGATCTACAACGGACCAGTCTACTCTTTGGTTAAATCTCTGGATGAACATGGCAGCCTTGGCAGAAAACGATTTATGATATTCATAAAATAGAGTTCCACCATAAGTCATGGCGAGATCAGCAATGATGGCGAGGTATGTGTCCAATTCAACTCTTCGGGATGGATAGACTTCGCAGATGATGTTCCCATAAATGCTAAAAGCCACTGTGAATTCCACTAGAGTCAAGGACTTGAAGAGCCTGGGATCGCTATCTTTCAGCAGAACAGAAATGTCTCCGCAGTCAACCACACGTTTATCGCTGACACCAGAGAACAGCAGGATCTTAACTAGATTAATGTCATTACCTGCCAGGATCTGGCTCCTGAGATTAGGAGAGATTGCAGCTGCAGGAGGGTAGAAGGGGACGCCCGTGGTGATGGGAACTGCACTACCCAGGGTTCTTCGCAGGACAGTGACGTTGTCGTAGGGGATTGGGATGACGTCATCGAGCTGCGACGATGGGCCGGCGATGGGGGAGGTGGTGCGTGCGTGGTCTTGGAAAGTTGGTGTTGTGGATTGAAATGGTGTTGAAGTTGGAACATTAGCCTCAAGGGTCTGGATCCTGGTGTTCATAGAAGAAAGGGAGGACTGGATGGACGAAAGGGCTGACATGATGTCGGCGTTCGTCGAAGCTGCGAGGTTGTCCGTTGTCCGTTGGAGCTGTGTGGCTGACCGCCGGGGCCGTAACTCACGCCCTCTTGTGCGTCTGGGCGGTGCCTACTGCCGAGGCTGTACTGGAATTGCTGGTGGTATGTTTAGGTTTTGCTGCGGCTTTTCGAGGAGTGGAAGGTGGAGGAGTGCTTGCAGGTGGACGCTGGGACTCAGAGCAGCTCAGGAAAAGCCCAAACAATTCCTAGAGAGAGGCGCCGTTCGGGGCGGAATGTTGTTCATAAACAGGAACTGTAGCAACTTTGGGATCGGCCATTCATTGATCGAAGGATCCGGCATATTCTTTCGTGCTAACCTGGAGCTTCTGCAGAGAGAGGAAGCTTCCTCCGGGCCGATCGCGTCCTCTGCACTGGACTCTTGAGGTGACTCCAAGATGCAGTCAAACTGTGGCTCGTCCTTGTCGTAGGCTGAGGACATGGTCACGCGGAGCAACAAGGTAAGGAATAACACAAGCATTTTGGCAGGCATATGGAAATTGCTGGTTAGTTGTCAGAGCAGAGGAAGAGGCTGGTTTAGTGCAGTTTTAAATAAGGCGCTCTATAGGCAAAGGACCAATAGGAGCTAGGAGTGGATCAGCTGATTATCATCTGGTTGAGGTGGCTACTAGCCATTGGCTGCAGATCAGCGCTTGACGTCATGTCCTGACAGAACTAACGCTATGCTTCATTAGAACAAAAATCCAAGACTCCTGTGACTTGAAACATCTAAAATTCACTGCACTTGAATGTAGCGATTGGTTAAAAGCTGTTTCATCCTCTGGAGAATGCCAGCATGTTCCACATTTAGTTGTGTCTCTTTATTTTATTAAATCATAAAGGCGGATTAAAATGCCTCTGAAATCAAGGACGTGTGTGTGTCTTGCCTACAGATTCTTAATTTAGATGCAGAATCTGATTATAATAGTCTGAATTTGTGACACAGTCAGTCAAATATCGGATCTCAGCCTCTCTTTTTTCCCTGCCTAATGAGCCAGAGAAGATCAGTTTCATAAGAGATGACAGAGTTTACAAGACAATTAGGTTTCATGCTCTGTGATGCCTGCATAATAGATGCATGAAGTCACACAGGACCTGTAGCTGATCAGCACTCCCACAGTGCACTGCTCAAGGATGCTTTAGCAGGGTGGATCTCATGACATAAAAAAAGGGAGAGAAAATGAATTAGGCTCATGTTCAAATCAGCATGTGAACACAGGAGGTCTTGGATGCAGGTTTTTGTGTGTGCAGCGAGCACACAGCAGGCCCCTCAGCGCAATCACCTCCTGTGGTGTTTCAGATAGAGCTGTCCTCTCACTGCACGCTATGATACATGTGCTGCATTGGGGAGCGACAAGTGGACAGATGAAGGCCGCTGATGCACACATCCGTGAAAACTCACAGTTAATGTTCTGCAGTTTGGAACAGCGAGCATGACTTTTCTCTGTGTCCCCTTTTCTGTTTCCTACAAGGCCCAGGAGTTTTGTCTGATACTGCCCAGTAATCCTGAGAGGGTCGATGCAGAGAGCCAGTCACAGCCAAACCCCAATGATCATTTATTATTGATTCAGGAGACATGAGATAAAGAGACACAGACAGTTAGAAACAGTCAGTTATGAGACCTATTGAGAAAAAAATTCACAGAAATTACAACATGTCAATAAAGAAAAAACAATGAAGGAGCAAGAAAAGTGGAAATTCAAGTAAATAAATATGCAGAACAGAGCAGCCATGATAGTTGGGGAGGTGAAGGTGGTGTTTAGGTTTGTTCAGGACAGGTAGCCTCAAAGCTTTGCCCT